TGCTTTTGGTGCATCTCAAATAATCTCACCAGAACAAAGCAGGTGGATGAGCTGGAATGTTTTCAGTAAAACAGTAAAAACAACTTTTTATGTGTATTTTGACGCTTTACGGCATTCAATAGTGATCTATTTTCATTGTCAGATGAATCAGCTCCACATCTGTTGTGCTTTTCTTTCTCTCTTTTTGGTGGGAAATGCTGCCACCTGCTGACAATTTGTTGTAAGATCAAAAACTTCTTTCACCTGTCTTCAATCCATCATCCATCCATCCATCCATCCATTCATCCATCCATCCATCCATTCATCCATCCATCCATTCTCTAACACCCTGGTCCACAGTGGGTCCTGATGGGTTCTGGTGCCTCGTTAAAGTGTGAGTTTTTCCAAGTTTCTTCTCAAAAATGTCTGAGTTAATATCTTCCTGTGAAATATTTGAAGTTTTATATTTTTTTTTATTTAGCATAGAAATGCACCACAAACCTTTTTTAGTGAACATTTTTGTCTTTATGGCATAATCCGGTAAAATAAACCGAATTAATTTTGTAAATTTACTGTGTAACTTTACAAACAACATCCCATAATATTAATATAAGTTTCATAAATTTGATGTTGGAACAAATTTATTTAGAAAATTGTTTTAATTCTTGTTTTCAGATTGCTAAAATCTGCACATAACTTTATTCTTTTATGTAGCTGCATCCATTCATCTATACTACTTTTTAAACATTAAATACATTTTATCATCAGTTACTCAGTACTTGAGTTACCTTTTCTTATATTCAATAATATTCACATATATTCAGATATTTTTGTCATTATTAAATATTTTGAACGGCCAGTTTTTACCGTTAATTGACTATAATTTTTGGCACATTTGGACAAATCTCTCTTCCTTCTCCATTTGGGATCGTTTATCGTGAATTCCAGTAGGGGGCAGTAAAGCTTCCCGGCGATTGAAGAAGAAGAAATGTACTTCCGGTTTCATTCGGGAACACGTGGGTCTTTCCGGGCCACCGGGTGAGGAAACTTCAACAAAACAAGACGAGAAGAAGAGAAAAGGTTCAACTTTTCTTCTGCTTTTCAACACGAACCGGTTTCATTGTCGAGTTTTAAAGCAGAGAAATGATTTAATGCAGTTTATTACGGACATGTTTGGATGACGTCAGTCATTCATATTTTAGGCTGAAGCTCTGATCCCTGAAACTCAGTTCACCGGATCTAAAGTTACATCTAATGATTCGTGTGAAGATTCATTAATAACTGAATGACAACCTGAACAACGATTTTAGAAATATGACTAGTAGAAATGACTCGATCTGCATGTTTACATGGTCTTTTCTTAATTTTAGCTGAATCTCCAGACTGAATAGTAAAATTGTTTCTGAATCAAATCGCTTGATGCTGTTTGTCTGTGTGCAAAAGTTTGAAAACTTACCTAGAAAACGGTTGGATTTTCCTGTGTCGATGTCAATATTGGTGCCAGAAATGTTCTGATTGCTGTTTGTTCTGCAGGATCTACCTGACCAGATTAAATCAGGTGCAGTTTCAGCTGTGAATGTGTTTAATTGGTTGGTTTCTCCAGCTTTAGCGTCCCGATTCCTCGCTCAGATGGCCGAAGCTGAGCAAGACAAAAGCCGAGGGTTGAAGTTTGCAGAGCAGCTGCTCCTGAGTCACGGCTGGGAGCGCGGTGAGAGCCACGTCCAAACCATCAAAACCCATCAAAAACCAGTCTGCAGTCTGGTCCTTACTGGGTCTGCTCTCTCTCCAGGAAGGGACTCGGCCGAGCGGAGAACGGCATATCAGAGGCCATCAAGGTCAAGGTCAAATGTGACAAAGGAGGGGTGAGTCGCCCGCAAACTGATTAATCATCTGCAGGAATCAGAGCCAGGAGCTTCGTTTGTTCCTTCAGATCGGCCACAGAGAAGGAGAGCAGTTCAGCTTCCACTGGTGGGATCACGTCTTCAATAAAGCCTCGTCCAGTCTGCAGGTGGAGGCTGGCCAGGTGGGTTAAAGGTCACACATCGAGTCACGACAAGTTCCCCGGTGTCCTCGAAGGAGCGCCGTAGATTTCTGAGATTATTCATGTTTTATCCCCATCAGCTGCTGAAGTGTGGATGAAAACCTCAACTCAGTATAATTAAACATTTTTTACAACGATAAAGCAATAAAGCTGAAAACTTCCACCAAAAATCACAAACATTTTCTAAATGTGAGTTTGAAAAATCATAAATTTGCTTTAAAAAAAGTTAAATATTTTCATCTTATGAAACTGAAATGTCAATGTTTTTTTTTTTGTTGAAAATTTTATTAAGGATTTTATTTTTCCTAGATGAGTCGTCATATTTTGCTTCCAACTTGAGCCTGAAAACGTTTCTGTTTCCTTAAGGATGGAATCAAATTAAAAAAGACGCCTGAGGAAGGTGAGGAAGAGGAGGGAGCGATCTCCAACAAAAAACCTCGGAAATCCCTGCAGAACAAATCCAAACTGTATGGCCGCTTTGTGAAGGTAAGGTTCTGTCTTTGGGGCGGCGCATCGGGGTCGTAGGTCAACGTTAGGGAAAAACGTCTCGGTCTGTTGCAGTCGGCCACGCTGCTGTCCGGTCAGGAGGAGCCGGAGCCAAAGGCCCCGAGTTCAGACAGCAGCAGCTCAGATGAGGAAGAGGAGCAGAAACTGGATCTGTCCAGCACCACCAGGTAAAGTTTTTTATCAGCACTGAGTGCCAGTTTGTTTCCAGTTCATGTGGAAATTTAACAAATTACTTTTTTCTTCAGAATTTGACACCCAACTCTGAACAATAACAACAATAAAGAAGCTTTTTCCCAACACGCTGTTTTCATCTTTCCCTTCATTCTGACTGGTTTCCAGTTCCTGCTGCTGAATCAGCAACATTTCAACCAGTCTGAGTAGAACAGTTTAAAATCCAGACATAAAAAAGAAACGAAAATCTGAAACAGAAAAACCCATCATGGGTTTGTGTCAAGTTTAAAGGGAAAACATTCATTGAATTTGTTCTCTGGAACTGGGCTGTAAAACCATAAAACCCAGAAAATGCATTTTTATTTATGGGTTTTAGTTTTGATTCTAATTATTCATATTTCAAGTTTTCAGATTGAAATCTAACTTTTTTCTTTTCTTCAGACTTTCAGACGCTGATCTGATGAAGGTTTGTGGAGGACGAACGGCTCACAAGTGAGTTGAAAATGTAAACAAAATGGATCAAAGCCTGAAGAATACGGCGGCGTTTTAGACAGAAAAAGTGAATTTTCATCAAAAAACTCAGAAATGTTTACATTTCTCAAAAAATAAAAACTTGGAAATTTCTGAATATTTAGAAAATTTTCAGACTTTCCGGTTTTTTCTAGAAAATTTCAGAGATTAATTTGGAAATGTGTGTTTTTTGTTCTCCTTGTAAATGTAACACGCCGCCATAAACGTTTCTTTATGAATCCTGTGGTTGTTCTGCTTTTAGGGGCGCGCGGCACGGTCTGACCATGAGCGCCAAGCTGGCCAGACTGGAGCAGCAGGAAGCAGAGTTCCTGACCAAATATGGAAAAAAGAACCAAACAGGAAGTTCTCCAGTTGTTCGTGACACAGTGACTCATCCGGAGGAGACGAGCCACAGGAAGAAGAAGAAGAAGAAATGCACAGAGAGCTGTGCTGAACTAAACGGTGATGAAAGTCCTGAAGCAGGTTTTCAACCAGAGAAGAAGAAAAAGAGGAGGAAAGATAAAACGGAGGGAGAAAAAGAGGCAGAAGAAGAAGCTGATTGTTGGAGGAAACATTGAGGATCAGAAAGAAGATGAAGGAAATCCATCTGCAGAGGAAACTGAGCTGCTTCCCTCCGACTGCAACAGGAACAAGAAGAAGAAGAAATCTGCTCCGCATGATGCTGACCCTGCAGAAACTGGGCGGAGTCCTGGACAATCCAGCCAATCAGATCGCAGATCAAAGCAGGAAGCAGAGGTTACCATGGCACCAGAGAAGCAGAAAAGGAAAAAAGCAGAAAGGACAAATTGGTGATGGAGAAACTAGCTGACGAAGAGGAGCTTCCTTCAAAGAAGAAGAAGAAGAAGAGCGATGGTGGATCAAAGTGAGGCGCTGAAACTACAGTCCGGTTCTGATACCTGAACCCGACCCAACCTAGCAGCTGCTAGGTTGGGTCGGGTTCAGGTATCAAAACCTTCAGAACCCGTTTTCCTGTTTTTATCTCTGCTGGTAGAAAGTGAAGCTGCTTTTCTGTGCAGGACGATTAATTTTTAACGAACCGTCAGAATGAAATCTGGAGTAAATATCAATGAAAACAGAATTATTCTGATGGAAACATCGAGAAAAATGTATGAATTTATGAAATAAATAAAACTTTCTCATGTAATTATCTCACAAAGCATCAATAATTTAAAAACCTAATTTATTTTACCAACATTTCCAGCAACAATTATTAATAAGATTGATTATAAGATATGATCAACTGGATTTATGAAAACAGTTTTGTTGTTTATTCAGGTTGAGCTGCAGTTTCTGCACAACTGGAATAAAAAATTATCTACAATCTCCATTAATCTGTTCTGGTCTGCAAGCAGCATTTAAATCTGAAGCAAACAGCTGAAGCACCGAGTTCCTTTAAACTCCAGACAAATTGTTACGTTTCTATTGTTTGATTGTGTCTTTGACTCCATTTTTATGTTTTTATGATTAAACCACTTTGAACTGCTTCCATGCTCTGTTTAGTGATTCAGGTTATTTTTATCTTTAATGAATAAAAATATTCAAATGTTTTTGGTTTTTATTGAACTCAAAAAAGAAATCCTCCAGGTTTTCACAGTAATCTGAGACTTAAAGTAGATGAATTATCGGAAAGCAGTAAAAGTATTTGCATCAGTTCAAGGCAACGTTAAACTGTTATATTCTGGCCTGGAAGCTGCAAATATTTCCTTAAGGTTATGAAAAAAAGACAATTTGAGTAAGAATTGTGTCTTAAAATCAGATAGTTTCACTGGATTCAAAGTTTTTCTTCTTTTTGTTTCTGTCTGGTAAAATAACCAGGTTTACTTCCATCAACATCTGCAAGCAAACATTTGTGAATTACAAGCTGTTTGAGTCGGTGCTGCTTATTTGGGCACACCATGACGTTCCCCTCACACATGAATTTGTTTCTGCTAGAATATCCTGCTGCGTTCCAGTTCTGGATCAGATTCCCCTCAAACGTCATCAGTCCCCGTTCTGTCCAGTAGCTGCAAACACACACACACACACACACACCACACAACACTGCTCAATTTACTGAAAAACACACACACGAAACTCACAGATAAAATAAAACACGTTGAAACCGTCGGAGTCTCACATGAAACATTTTTGGTGTATATTTTGTTCTGTATTTCCCTACAAAAATGAGGAACTGGTGAAAGACAATATGTGATTTGTGATCGTTTTAGAAAACCACTAAATATTAAATTGTTCTCAGCTTTTTCTAACAATTAAAAAGCAAACAAACACCAAAAGTGAAGCATTTCTTACCCAAAAGGGTTTGAAGCTGACCAGTAGAACTGGCAGGACAACTGGTACCAGCAGCCGCTGTAAGACTTCAGATGATTCTTGAGGAATTCCTGAAAGTTCATAAAGATTCAGATAATTAAAAGTTATTTCACTTTTTTTCCTCACGTTAAAGTCCTGAAGCTGCAGTCAGAAACTTTTATTAAAATATTTTTCCATGTTTGCTGAAACTGCAACTAAGTTGTGACATTTTGTTATGAGTTTTCCCAGCACCAAAAACCAATCAGAGCCACGAGGCGGGTCTTAGCGCTGTCAATCACTCTTGTGTACCCTTCTTCCTGGTAGCAGAGAATGCCCTGAATGCTAAAGCTAGCTGGCATAGCCACCAATGACAGCATAAAAACTGTTTTCCTGTAAAGGTAAGTTGTTTCTCTAATATTAGCACATTTAGCAGCACATTCATGAAAGTGATTGACAGCACTAAGACCTGCCAGCTGTTTCTGATTGGTGGAGGAGATTAAACTGTCACATCAGGCCTGTTTTAATAAATATGTAAAGATCTTTTTTTTTAATAAAATTTACATGCTGCACCTTTTCCTGCAGATTATCAACAAGAACCAGATCAGCTGCTTTACTGCGGCAGAACTCCCGGGCTTTGCTCCAGGTCTCACAGTAAGCCTCATAAAACAGGTAGCACTTTCCCTGGAACTGGATCCAGTTGGTCTGGCAGGGCTGGCACTCTGCAGTTATGGAGAAAAACAAACAAATCTGCTTTAAAAAAGGAGCAAATTTCAATCTACAATCTACAAATTTTGAGATGAATCTCAGAAATTTGCTGGAAAAATGGTGGCAATTTCTGTTATTGAAAAATTGACAATTTGCTGGAAAGAAACTCCAAAATTTTAAGATGAATTTCAGAAATTTTCTAGAAAAAACTTGGAAATTTCTGAGTTTGAAGATCAAAAATGTTATAGAAAAAAAATCTGAAATTTTGAGTTTAATCCCTGGAACATTACAGAGAAAACATTAAAATTTCTCAGTTTCAAAAGTAATTTTTTTTAACTCTTCTAACTCTGAAGTTTTTCTTTTTTCTATTTTGGGCCACAATGTGAGGTTCTAAATGTTTAACTTATAGGAACAGTTTCTGTTACTTGTGATAATGAAGTAATATTAGATAGAAACATCTATAATAGATATTAACTTTTATCTGGACAGAAATCTTTTACTGGAAAGTTTTCTGAAGCCAAGATGGCTTCCCTCAGTCTGCTGAGCTGCTGCACTTCTTCCTCCAGCAGGATTTTCTCCAGGCTCAGCTGATTCGTCTGGTTCTCCAAGTTTCCTCTTTCCTCTGTTAGTTCTTCTGTTCGGTTCTCCAGGCTTCTCACCTTCCCCACCTGTTGCCTGAGCTCTTCCTGCTGTTTCCCCAGCTCAACACCCACTGCACAAGAAAGACAGTCAGTCAGTCTGTTGCAGGTTCATCCACTCTAACTAAAAAACTTCATTTTCATGTCATTAATGTTCTGTTTCGAAATGAGCAAAATAGGAGAAAAACAGAAAAAAAACTAAAAATGTAAATTTTCTTTTCAAGAAGATAGATGAACAGATTGAAATAAATGGTTGGATGTAACAGGCAGGATGGATTTACTTTAACTAGACCCAATCCATGACTGAGGTCATCAGATTCAACAATTAATCTGGAATAATCTGAGTTAAGTGAAGAAAACTGAAACGTACTCCAGCTGATGATGCCGATGCTGGTCAGCAGGAGGAGGCAGAGCATCAGCAGCCACAGCAGGAACCAACCAGAGGATTTGGCTCCTTCACTGTCTGCAGAGAGAGAAACTGTCAGCGTCACGGGAAATATTTTGTCTGTAAAAAATGAAACTATCGACATTATTTATGCACATTTCATGATGTGAAAATACTTGATTTATCAACTTTTATTCTCTTTTATCAGAAATTTTAATATTTACAGGAAAAAAAACCCCTAATGATAGCAAAATATTTGCAAAAATAGCATCTATGAGTTTTTAAATTTCCAACCAATGTCCTAAAAACAACCAAAGTCAGACGTTTTAGCTAGAGGCTAATAACAGTAAATGTAATAATGTCCAAAATATTTAAAATAATAAAATGAAACAGGTATGTATAAGTATTAATTAATCTGCCTGTAAAATATTTGACTGATTTAGTGGTCAGGATATAAAGATTGTCAGGATTTTATGACTCACATGAAGCATTAGTGGCAGGTTCTGGAGGAGGTCCAACAGCGTCTCGCTTCTCCTCTGAATGAAAGAAAGAAAAGAAAAGCAGAAAATTTCACCTTTTTCAACAACTGTAACAGTAAACTTGTTTAAATAAAATAAATACCTCTGACTGTCTTCATAAAATAGATGTAATAAACATGGAAGCATCTGGTAGCGTTAGCATAGAGCAAAAACCTGCAAATGTTTTGTTAGGAACCTGAGAAATGAATGTTTATGATCAGATTTCCCTCTGAAATGTGTTGAGCTTTCCAGTGTTTGCAAATGTTCTAATAAGATACTTTGTGTTAGCATGATTTTATTTACGAATGTTTAAAAAGGAATTGTTTCCATACCACAGATATTTATGAATAATAATTATCACTTTACAGCATTGCTGTCATTCAGGGTTTGGTTTGTTGCTGATTTTTATAGAGAAAAGTTAAAGAAGTGATCAGTTGAAAATGAATGAAATACCAAAGTCACCATAGTTTTGTGTTTTCATGAAAAAACTTGTTTTTTTATTCTGCATTTTGGTCATTTCTGACCTTAAAGTCATTTACCTCCAGGTGTTTTCATTTCTGTAGCTGTAATTATTTGTTTCTAAAGTTCTGATCTGGTGATAAACCGGATTGTTTCAAAATGTGAACTTTCACTTCCTGTGTGTGAAAAAGGGGAAATGAGGAAATGTTTTCTTCCTCACTGTTGTTGCTTTTTGCTGAAAATAACTTCCTGTCTCACATTTGTTTTTAAGAAACAGCAAAATTAAAGGTGAAAATATCAACTTCTGGAAATCTCAATAAGACTGTTAAATCTACAGAATATTTTTTAGTGTTTTAAAGCTAACTGCATAATCAACGAATGAAATTATTTAACTGGTAGAAAAAATATTTAAATGACTGTTTTTATATTTAAGTTATTTAACCGTTTGTTTTCTCATATTGTAGTGATTTCTTTAAGACTGTTTAGAATTTTGTGGGTTTTCAGCTTCATTAAACTTTGTGTTTTTGCAAAACTGCAATGGAGGCATGAGTCAGTTTTAACTGCAAGAAGTTACTACTGGAGGAAATGATGAAGAAACGACAGGAAGTGGTTGGAGGATGATGTGCTAATTGTTTTTTTAATGTCTCTTCCTCTGAACAAACTTATTTATGAGAGATTTTAATGACATTTTCTTTTGTAATGGGAACACGGAAACTGAGAAATAGTTTTTTTAGCATTAGCAGAATATTAATAAAGTTAATCTGTCTGTAAATATAATACTTTCATATTATTTTTATTTTGTTTCATTGTTTTTCTCTGATTTAACAGAATTGATTAATTGAAGGTGTTTCTATCCTTTAAATCAATGTTAACATATTCCAGGTAATTTGGAAATCATAGCAAGTAAAGAAACCAACAAATTCAGGTTCTTTAAAAAAAGAAATATTTCCAATTTTCTGCCTGCAATGAATTTATTTTTAAGGAGCTTCTTACCTTTTTGAGGTTTCTGGTAATTTTCATAAATCGGACCATAAAAATTGTCCACAACTCTCTCTGGAAGTTGAGGGAAGAAAAACTTTCAGAAACAAAAAAACTTAAGGAACAAAATCCATTGAAAGAAAAATTTTATACACAATTTAATATTTTAAATATTTAGACTCAAAATGAATGCAAAAATAAAAAAAGCTGAATATTCTAGGAGCTTTACAAATAAAACATCTACAAACTGAACTAATCAAAAAAGTAATCAATTATCAATAATGTAACATTTCTCATCTTTAACTAAAGCAGGTCATGAACTGTTTGAACCAGGAGTTTCTTACCTTTGCCGAGTTTCGTCACATTGGTATAAATATCAGCTGAAGACATTTCCACAGACATGATTAAAACAAACAACAGACTCTGGATGAGTTAAAGCTGCAGCAGAAATTTGTGTTTATTGTTTGTGACCAGAACTTCCTGTTCCTCTGTGTGCAAAGACCCAACTTCTGAAATGTCATCATGATAAACAGAAGAAACTTTATGTTGTTGTTTGGAGTTTCAGGGAAAACGGACATTATTATTATCAAAAAGAAATGAACCATGAAAAATCACAATGGTAACACGTAAAGCACAAACCAGGCAATGTTTATTATGAACTTTATTTCTGCTTTCAGCAAATATGAAGATAAAACGAGCAAACCACAAGTCAAAACATGAAGTCGTTTTTGATCAGGTTGAGTTGAACAGATTGTCTCTGATTTGGTTTTATAACCAGAAAATAAACTTTTATTAAACATATTCAATAACTAATTGATGTCTTAAGCAGAAAACGTTAAAGTATTGATCCAGTTTGTCTGAAACTCTATTTATAATCAATTACCTGGAAGATGGAAAACAAAAGCTTTAAAAATGAGTAAAAGACAGAAAACAAAACAAAAGGCAGAACTTTCTAAATGAAATGATACAATATTATACAACAATATATTTTAATACGTATAGAAAAGAAAATGTGATTTGTGTTTGATTATTTCAGATTATTATTAACATCAGAATATATGATTCTAGAAATACTTTTTAAAATATTGAAACATTAATCAAGATGAAAACTAACTCATACTTGAGGCAAAGTATTTCTGTAATTCCAATGAAGTTATATTTCTGCAGGCGTCATGAAGCTTCTGCTGAGTTTCAGTCTAACAGCTGAAGGCGTTTCCAAACGGAGATGATGGAGTGAATAACGTCTCTGAGGATTTCCACCATGTTATCACCGTGGCATGCGGACCCGAAAACCAAACCACTCCGGTCATCCAGAACCTGACCGGCAGAAAGCAGAGGCTGTTATCATTTATTTTAACTGGTTCCGTCAAAACTCCTATTAAATCTGAACTCAGACGTTGAATAAAGACAGAAGCTTTTTGTTTTCATTGAATCAGATTAAACATTTCCTGTTTCAGATCAGGCAGAAACACCAACATTATTCATTATTTCTTTGATTAGACTGACATCAGGACCTCAAAGCTGCAGAATCTGACTATTATTTTAAATAATTTATGTTTTCTATATTTGTTAAAACTGTGCCAGTATGAGCCTGATAATCATAGAAAAGATCAACGTCTTCAGCCTCCGCTCGGCGCTGCTCTTTCTGTCTGACGAAATGCGCCTCACCTGATCAAAACCAGCCAATCAGGAGGAACGTCTTAGCGCTGTCAATCAATCTCATGCACCTACTGCTAAAAGTCCTAACTTAGGAAAACTGTTTAGCTGCCGTCATTGGGAGCCATGCTAGCTAGCCTTAGCATTCACAATGAGCTATGCTAGCTGCAGTGTCTTTTACATAATCCAGACTGTAATCTGGTTTACAGAACAAAACCTTATAATTATAAAACAGTTGCTATATTTGTTTATGTTTCAGAAAAATTTCTCACTTAAGACTTTCATTACGCCCATCGATCCAGAGCCAGTTGTTGTCGGTTTGGCTCAACGAGCAGAAATTCATCTCCTGGTTTCTGGCAGGACTCTGGAAAATAAAACGTCCCAGAAGTTTGAATTTTCAGTGCCTGCCTGAAAAGCTGAGGCCGCAGCCCTGAAAGGTCACCTGAGCTTCGCCGCCATCTACGATCACCAGGTCCGCGGACGTGTTTTCACAGTACAGTCGGGTTCCTTTCACCGAATTCTGGGCTGAGCTTTGGCCGTCAAACTTCTCCAGGAAACTCGCCCAACCCTTCTGGCACGGCAGACAATCTGCAGGCAAAGAGAAACACGGGAAAACAAATGTGTTTTACCAACAAACTCAAGAGTTTCAGGACAACTACCAAGAAGAAAAAAAAATAATAATATTTTATTTGATGAACTGATAATAATATAAACAGAATTCATTAATTGATTTGTGGTGATTAGTCACTAAGTTTCTGTCGTGACTCAAACTGCCTTCACATCGGTCAGTAACAGTTAGCTTAGCACACACCAACATTTTTTGGCTAGAAACTTTTTGAAATACTTTATTATCACCTACAAACTCCTTAATCAATTATGATTTTTATTAAACAAATGCACCTGAAGCTATTATAGTAATGACAGTTTTTTATTTCCCACAACTGTATGTTCCAGCAGTTATAATGCTGTTAACGTCTTATTTAGGCATATTACTGATTTTAATCCAGACAGATTCATCTAGATAGGGTCAAATTAATCAATAATCAGCTAATAAATTCTGATTAGAAAATGCTGAAAGCTGTTATGAGAAATCCAAGTTCTTAAAAGCTCATGAATGTTTTCTTGTGTGTCTCTTACAGAATATGAACAATTATTCTGTTCACATATTTAATACTGATGCAAACTTTTTCTCTGAATTTTACGTACGCATCTCATTAAAATACAATATTTTAATTTATTAAAATAATTCAGGTGAAAAATATATTTAGGATCATTCCCCGGTTATTTAGGTTATTTCAAGCCTAGATATAGATTCTAAATTAATGGATATGTTATTTATTTTAGCTAAATTACCATTATGGTGGAAAACTCACTTTTGTCTGGGCAGAACTGGTTCACTGGGAAGTTGTCGTACGTGAGGATGACCTGCAGCGCCCTCTTCAGGTCGTCCCGCTCCCCGATCAGCTGCCCTGTCACGTTCTCCAGAAGACTCTTTTAATATTCAGACGCTTGTTCTCTTTCTTCAGGTCGTCCATCTTTCCCTTATGGCTCATCATGTCGATGCTGACTTTAACAAAAGGACACAACATGAGACACCAGGGCCGGCCTCAAGGAATCAGGGGCCCCGGGCAGAATTGGACTCAGGGCCCCCTCCACTTGCAGAAGTCGTCGCCTCCGCCAGCAGCAGAGTAGCCAAAAAAGAGAAGCTCTACATATTTAACTCAAGAAAAAATAAAAATTTGCCATCAAAAAAATAAAAGACAAATCTACTCAAATACTGAGTAACTGATCAAATGATCAATCATTTAACATTTAAGAATCACATCATTAAACTAACTAAAATATAAAGTTAAATGGAATGTTTGGTGTAAAAAGGACAAAAATAACAATAATTCATATGAGTAACAAAAAATAAAATCAGGCAAAATAATTTTTTTCAGAATTTCCTTCAATAAAAACTTCTGAAACTTTAACAGAAACTGCAGCTGAATGTTTGTGTGTCTGATGGACTTTTGGTTGAAACATGTTTGTTTTATACTTCATATTAAAATTACTCTAGTGAAAATAAAATGTACATTGTAGTAAAAATAATGATTAAAATACATGTTTTCCAAAAGGTTACTGAAGTAAATGCAGTAAGTTACTACTGAACTTTGACCTCCACGAACTCATTTCATACAGATTCAGTGCCTTAGTTTGTCTGACTGAGCTTAAAGTGAACCAAGAATGATTCATTTATATTTGCAGAGGATTTACGCACAAAAAAGATTAAAATCATAGCATCAGATTGTAACCATGGTAGCGCAACAATCAATCAATGAAGATCCATTTTCTTCACTTTTACAAAGTAAAATTACCAACATATGAGAGAGTAATGCTAAAAAATAAATAATAATTATACAAATAAAATAATGTAATAACCTACAATATTCTGGTGATATTATAGTTTTCTTCTATTAATACTTTGATGATACTTTTTTATGCTATTTTTTCTTTCCAAAAAATGATCCTACATTAAAAAAAAAACAGTTAGTTTGATAAAGACTGATTCATTCATCTAACTGTGAATGAAGTCAGAAATCATAGATATTTCATGGAGTCTCACAAAGTGTTGAATTGGTTTGAAAACGTGTGATTGAGATCCAGGTTGAAGAGAAGCAGACTCACGCCAGGCGATGACGGCGACGCTCGCCAGCAGCAGGACGACCAGGATCCCCACAGACAGCAGCAGGAGGGAGCAGCTCGCGTTTCCTTTCTTCCCTGATCATGAGGACAAAATCATCCTGAAGTTGCTGTAAATCTTAGCTTTCATTTTAACGTTAATTTGTTTTTGGTTCCACTTAAACTCATTTTTTCTCTAAAATCTCAGTTCATGGCTGAAGAAGAGTTTTACGCTAAATAATTTGTTCGTCTTTCTTCAGTGGAGTCCAGATGAAAGGTTGTCTAGGAGTCTTACCGTCAACCAGCTCCTGGGCGTTTTCATAAATCGCCTCAGTGCTCTTGTTTGCATCCATGGCTGGAAAAATGACAGCAGGAATAAAACAGAGAAAAAGAGAAACTGCTGATTTAAAGAAGATGAAAAGATCCTGCAGAAACTCAGTGAAGATCTTCTGCAGCCTGAACTCACAGCTGCTCTGTTTGCTGCCTGAATAGTTTGAATTTCTTTATTAAAATATATCTGATGATTTGCATGAACCCCAAATAAATCAGTTAAATGGAAAGACATAAATATCTTCTGTTCATGTGTTTAGGTAGAAGACTAGACTATATTAGTTCCTTCACTTTCATGTCCTGATGTTCTTCAGCTTTATCGGCATTATCTGTGCTCAGTAGGTGAAAAGGTCAATATGGCCAAAATAATCAAACTTTTTAATCAAACAACTTTTTTAATTGATGTGTTTTCTTTAAGTGAATTTATTTTTGAAATGTCGAATTATGAAAATATGGCCAGTGGAAACGCAGCTGGTGTTTTTTTTTTTTTTTTGCAACTGTATTATAAAATTAATTTTAATGTTTGGCTTTTGACAATAGTACAAATTCTTTTATGTTTATCAAGCTTATTTGCATAATGATGGACATAAATAAACATGTTTGTTCGCAGGAAAACGTTTCCTCTTCCACTTAAACCCAAACAGACAACTTTCTGTTTGGAAACCAGGAACCAGAAAAACAGAAACTAAATCCAGAGTTGTTCACAGAGCATTTACATGGACTGGAAAACAAATTCAGCACCTGAGTTTATCAAAGGGATCATTTCCAT